AAGGTCTAAAATTCAGTATCTTTAGAAAGTATGTAGAAAATAAATAAGGCAATGTTTGTACGACAGAAATATGTTCAAATAATAGAAAATGTTTATAACAATATTTATAATACGTGATACTTTTAATCTGGCCTGGTTTGAACACTCTGATCTATTGTACTTTAAATTACCTGCTGCTTTTAATCTGGCCTGGTTTAAACACTCTGATCTATTGTACTTTAAATTACCTGCTGCTTTTAATCTGGCCTGATTTAAACATTCTGATTTATTGTACATTAAATTACCTGCTACTTTTAATGTAGCCTGGTTTCGACTTTATGATCTATTGTACTTTAAATTACCTGCTACTTTTAATCTGGCCTGGTTTCGACTTTATGATCACCAGGTAATTTAAAGTACAATAACTTTTAATCTGGCTTGATTTAAACATTCTGATTTATTGTACTTTAAATTACCTGGTACTTTTAATCTGGCCTGGTTTGAACACTCTGATCTATTGTACTTTAAATTACGTGCTACCTTTAATCTGGCCTGATTTAAACACTCTAATCTATTGTAATTTAAATTACCTGCTACTTTTAATCTGGCCTGGTTTGGATATTGTGATCTCTGGTACAATAGAACACAACTCTTGGAAGTAGTCTTGTTTTCGGAAGGATTCTGCAGCAATAAGAGCATTACAAGAGGTCTATAAAGGGAAAACAGTTCGTTCGTCTTTTCAGGCGTAGTTCTTGTTTTGATTTTATACATAAAAGGTCGTTCAACGTGATAAAGTGTTGTAAATAATATAAAGAGTTTGTATTTAGTATTTTAGTAGTCAACAAACTATGTATAACAGTCTAAGCACTAGCTTGCTCACAGATCGTGGTTTTTATTTAGGATAAGAAATTACGAAAACTTTTTTGAATATTTTTAAACATGCACAAAGGTAAGTTTGGAATAAAAAAACATCTCGACCATTTTACACTTGTGATTAGTAAATAGGCAGGAATGAAGGGTTAATTAGTGTGTTGGATCAGTTATCCAATAGGGTGGAAGATCAGCTATACAGTGGAAATATCTGGCATGAACACCAGGTAGCGTTATACACTATCTTCCTTGGCCATCTTTATACAAACGTTACGTGCTATCTTTTCTAGCCATTTTTACACGTTGTTTACCTGTCACTTTATTTGTTTTGTTTTATTCAACATTTCTACTAACTACAGCTTTTACAACACTCTTGTATTCTACCAAACAAACTATGACATCTTACCTTGTTTAAACAGTATTCTAGTTCAGAAGGCATGAAGGCAGGGTTGATATTGACCTGGAACAGAAAACGTAACACACAAATCCTGTGTTATAAAAATATAATCCGTTGGGAGATAGGCAGTGTTGATGTTAACAGAACCATAACATATAAAAGTAAGCTTATGCTAAACAAATCTTTGAGTATATGATTCAATTAAACTAGTATATGTTCCAGAAGAAATATTTAGTTTATTTACTTTATGGTTCAGATGAAAAGTGTAACTTATATATCTTATGTTCATGAAAACATAAATATATCAAGATATGTTTTATGATATTGTTTTAGGATTATATCAGAATAAGTGTCCTTACTAGTATTAGTCCTGCTTTAGCTGCAGCCAGCTGAGTTAGAACCCACTCATAACAGTTGGAGCTCCAGATTGCCAGACGTTCTCCAGGTCTCAGTCCAAGCTCTAAGAGACTTGCTGCTAGCTGATCACTCTTTGGTACAAAAAAGGAAACATTACATAATTACGAAAATATTTAACAGGATTTACAGGTATTGAGAATTGTATTTAAAGTACAGTATATCTAACAACACAGGAACCAGTACAGATACAGTAAAGTATATCTAATAACACCTGAAACAGTACAGATATAGTACAGTATATCTAACAACACCTGAACCAGTACAGATACAGGTGCAGTGTATCTAACAACTCACGAACCATTACAGATACACTACAGTATATCTAACAACACATGAACCATTTTGTAATTACATCACTAACACATTTAAAAGTAATGGAGTAATATGTTAGGTTTAGAATATTTTGTAATTACATCACCAACACATTTAGAAGTAATGGAATAAGATGTTAGGTTTAGAATATTTTGTAAATTCATCACCAAATGACGTACCTCTTGATTAGTTTCCAAAAAGGTGCGACGGATATTCTGATGACAGAAAACAAAAGCTAATTGGTCGCCAACTTCGTCAGATACTTTGTTTAGAGCTTGACCAATAGTGGATCCGATAAGAACTCTGTCTCCATGACCATAGTTATAGCTTATTTTAAACTTTTCCCTATTGGTTACTAGGCACCTGGAAACATCAGAGATAAGTAAATTCTCAAATATGAGTTTAAAGTTTTAAATTTAGATGAACTCTCGAAGTATTAATATCCATATGACCAGAACACACATTCGAAATGTTAATATCAATATAAACACCACACACTCGAAGTGTTAATATCTAAGTAAACACAAGATACAGTGGAACTTTTAATACACAATCGAAGTATTAAAATCTATAGAAACAGAACACACATTTAAAGTGTTAATATCAATATAAACACCACACACTCGAAGTGTTAATATCTAAGTAAACACAAGATACAGTGGAACTTTTAATACACAATCGAAGTATTAAAATCTATAGAAACAGAACACACATTTAAAGTGTTAATATCTATAGAAACACTACACACACTACCAACGTTAATATGTATGTAAACAGTTCACGTCTAACACATGTGTACTTACCTATTCAGTGGAGTTCTTAAAGCTCCCGACAACGAAGAACTAATAGTTCTAGTGATAGCCGATACAGATCGTACGGTAAACATTTTGAACTCTCTAAGGTAATGACAAACTAAACACGAAGGTTTTAGTTACTTTATAGTTCAGCACGTGGGGTATCATATGACGTAAGCTGCCGTAATCCTATTGGACGTTGTTCTCTTCAAAAAACTTATCGTATTTTGTGTATTCGTTTGTCTTATCTCTGTTCAACTTCAATGAGTTACAGACTGCATAATTCAATGTAAAACACGTGCACGACTGGTTTGTTCTTTGGTAAACTAAATATAATAGTAATCCAGACTTACAGATAAGTTTGTTTTTTGTTTTCAAGTGCACATACACAGTATGATAGTTATACTCCACGTACATTGTAATATCTTCATTCGGTTATTATACTCAATCTTATCACGTAGTATGAAGACTGTTTGTTTAGACCAAAACCACACTGAACTGTTTGCTCGTCCTCTTTGTACAATCGAATTCCCGATTTTAGCGTGGTGAGTCTGTACACTTACTGGTGTCCCACGAGGGAACGTGATGCTTGGGTGATCCTCCAGAATCACATGATTCTATATTATCGATAAATAGAGTTTAAGTGATCTCTGATGTCGAGGTTAGGACACCTAAATAAATCTCTGTTTATATGTTCTTTAGTTATTCTTGACGATCTTTTCCTTCGAGTTGTTTCCTACTTCGTATGTTCAAGTTTATCAAAATAAAAAATATCTGATGACTACAGCTGTCATCAAAATGAACAGTGTATCTTGTTTTAGATTAACGCCTGCGTATTAATGAACATGTACATTAGACGTCGAATATTTGGCATAATAATATTAAAAAGTAACTGTCTTACTACATGGGTTTTATGCTACGTAATATATACACCTAAGTTTTACCCAATTGTTACGTTATATGCCGAAACCTAAGTGTTGTGTAATAGACACCTGAAGGTCGTGGCGTCCTTGATCTAGAGCTAGGGCCACGAAGTAGCACCAGATGGCTTGTTGATAAGCCAACCTCATAACCACCATAAGAACTTGGAAATAATTATCAGTTTCCCTCATTTTATTTCTGGAATGACTGCAAATTGTAACAGAAAACCACAATTGTTTATCCTATGTAGCTTGTAACAGATCTATTTATAATTAAATTTTATTGATTTATTTCCCTTTGCTATATTAGCTGCAAATCATGTGGTGAACGTGCAGCTCACATTATGGTATTGAAGTACATAATGCACAGACTACTCATGAACATTCCTCATAAAACATACCGTTATTAATATTATTATTCATTTTAATTTAGCTAACCTAAAACGTTTTCAGTTTTTACATTTCAGTTACTTTTATAATAAAAAATACACTTGATAAACAAGAAATAAAGTACTTACCTGGATTTTTTGCTCTCAACTGTCAATGAGACTTAACCCAACTTTTTTATACTAATTGTACTATTGTATTAAATAATTCCTATTTAATTAAATAATGTACCAAATTACACAGCATAATAACTTGCAAAAAAGGAAACAATGTACCATAAGTATGATAATTTTTCTGGCTTTCTAACTATGCAACAGAAGCTGTTAAAAATTCAGCTAAGCTCATCAATGTGTTTCCCGTGGGAATAATGTTTGAACTGGAAGGAAAATAAAATGTCAGAGAGAACTATAGGTGAGTTCTGAAAGAGAGGATATGACAGGTGGGTGTGCCTGAAAGGATCTGATTTCCTATTTTAGTGCTCTGTAACTAAATTAGATTAAAGGCTATGTAAATTATGCTTTGCCTGAGCAATGAAAACGTTATAGTAATTAATTGATATTAAATTTTGTACATCTCGGAGGGGGTGATAAAAAAAAAAATATGAGAACACACATAATAAATGTCAGTTCTCATACTAGGGGAAATTGAGAATGTTTTTTAAAAATATTTCCTTATAAAATTAAGAACTTAAAATTTAAATAATACTGATCATTGATTTATTATCTAGGTTCTGATACTGAGTTTATTCATATGCATTGATAATAAAGTAGTTCAATTAAATTTTGAATTTAACTCTGTGAAAGGTTGTGAAATGCACACTTTGACCTACCTAAGGTGAAAAGGTTAATAGTGTGATACTTTCACATGGTTTTATTTTCGTGCAATTTATTTTTATTGGCGAAACCTGTTAAAAACTGATAGTGGACAGCTGTGTGCAAACTGTAGGCTGTTTAGTACAAAGTTTAAAGCAAAGTATTTGTGCTTGCCTTGCATATGGGGCATCTTGTGGTGCGTATTTGGTACCTGGGGAGGTGAAATTTATGCATCCTTACATATTTTCGGGTGTACAGGACCTGAGAATTTGGATTAACTAGAACCCTGAAATACTAAACACAATTTCTGTTTGCTTAAAAGTCTTGTCTCCTGATTTCCATGTAACTTGTAAATATGTTTTAGACTTAAGTTTTAGGGTTTGTGATTTTGTCTAAATATTTTGGAACATGTATATGTTTTGAGTGTCTGAAAGCCAATACTAATATGATAGTATAGAATTTCTGTATTTTCATCTGACAAAAAATAAATGTATTTAAACTAAAAAATGTAAATGTTTTGAATTAGTTTTATCTGCATAAGTGAAAAAACAGTTACCAAAAATACGGTATCAGACCAAATTTAAACATCATTTTTCACTAATGTTGACTAAATTAATGTTTTGTGGTTAAGATTTTTTTTTTCCCTTCTCAACACTAAAACTTTTTTCGAGTGGTTTGAATCGACTGATACAATATATTTATTCAAGAAAGGTATGCCAAGTTAAATAGTTAAAAGAATAGTACCCACACCTGGCACTATCAATATAAAGTATTTGTGATCTAACACATATTTATAGATCTTATGATTTTAATTATATCATACACAATATACAGTTTTATAGCTAATCTAGCTGTCTTTTTAGTTAGTTTTTTCCCTACAAGAGTATTTCAATAAACTTTTAACTGTATTGCAACTGGTGTATGCACTTCAGGTGTTGAGTACACATCTGCATATTTCAAAATTAAGATAAAAAAATAAATCTGATTATATTTCAAGACATTTTTTCTTCAAAAATAAATAATATTTTAGCATCATATAATATTTATTTAATGTATTTGACAAAAGAAAATTAAAATATCATTTCAACTTTCATTTGAGCTAAACTCTGGGGAAATCTTACCTGTAAATAATTAACACATTTATTGATTTTTTTTGTAGAAATTTTCTCCTCATCCAAAGGCTTGGCTATGATTGCTAAGAAGCTGTCATTTCTTAGAAACATAATGAATCATGTCCTCTTTTCAACATAAATTTATTTCTCTGTAATAGTAATTTTAGTAATCCTAGTATGTGATTGCTTATGCTGGATATAGAGAGAATGGGTCTTAACTAATAATGTAACTCAGCTTTGAACACAAGGCTTATGTGGTTGGGTAGTGGAGGTTTTAAATTATCTACTTCACAATATAATTAGTACAGTAGCTTTATAAGCAGCTTGTGGCTTTTTGACATAATAGCAATCAGTAGTTCTTGTAGGATGAACTAATGAATGAAATGTAAAGTTTTGAACATTTGGGAACAACCACAGATTTAAAAAAAATATTATTACATCTGCTTGTATTCAAACAACACATACATCTACAAGAACTGATTCTTTATTGAAAATAAGTATAATTTCCAGAAATAGATTAATCTTGATCAAAATTATTGTTGGCAAAAGATCACAACTACTGACAAAGGAAACAGTGATGAAATATGTAAAGTTAAGTTCACGATTTGCTCGAAGCAGTGAAATAAATCATAAAAAGAAATATCAGTAGGCATCAAATAAGGTAAAAATTGATTGGATATATGAAAAACAGAGAGTCTATGATAAAAGGAAATATATTGCAGTCATTCTAGAAAGAAAAAATTTAGATTTATTTCAGTTTTTTTATGATTGTTATGAGAGTGGTCAAATTAACCAAATGTATATATAGTTATGGTAGAGAAAATAACAGATAACATATAAAGTTTTCCTCAAAAATAAGTTTTATATTTATTTAGGAGGTTTTAGAAATTATACAAATGAAATTTGACAACTTTGAGGTAAAGAAAAGTATTTTTAATCTTAACATAAAAACCACTTTGCTCTAAGGGCAGTCAACATTCTGACACCATATATTTACAGACAAATTTTTATTTGAAATACTTAATTAAAAAACCTGATTTGTTGTGCACAAAAGACCTGTAATATCTACTGAAAGCTTGCCAAATTTTGTGAAGATATTCAAAACATATTGAAAGTTATAGAAACTCTGATGGTAATTTTGGGTTAGGAACTTGATCAAATTGGCTAAGTACGTAGCACATGGGTTAATGCTGTTTTGTTTTTTAATTATTTTTTTTATTTTATTCAAAACATTGTATCACAACAAAATTTCAAAAGTTACAAATACTAAATCAAATTATGTGATTTCTTTCATACACAAGATGTATAGTAGGTAGGAAGTGCTTACCCAGTTTCTTGTTCTTCAGTTAAGTACTTTAAGTGTGAGAATGAAAGGAACAGGTTATAACTTGCACCCTTCTAGTTCGAGGAAGGTTAAAGCAGGCTCAAAAGTTTCATGTACTTAATGCAATTTTTTTGGCAATTTTACATTTTTTTATATTTAAATTGTTATCTTTGAATATTCTGAGAAAAAATATAATAAAATAGATAACCATATAGTATTCAAATCTTCTATCACATAAATTTTCCCAAATGTAATGAAATTTTTACAAATTGTTACTTTGTCTAGAAGTAATAGTTTCTCCACCAAACACATTTATCTTTTTATGAAATCTAAAATGAATTTGCTTTTGGTAAAAATAATAGTTATAAATTTTTTTTTGTTTGTTTAAAGACTTCAACATAGATGAAAAACCAGATACCAATCAGCTGTTAAATTGGATGCAAGGTAAGCTGGAGTTCATTATTTAAAAACCAGTGAGAGTACCCAGCTTTGCTCATGTTATGACGTTGATATATTCTAGATGACTATGTTAGCATGAGTATTCTAGCATAGAAGAACAGTCAAAAATATTTTAAACCTATTTTTATTTCCAATTAACATAAAAATGTCATAAAGGTACGATAATAATAAAATTATTATACATAATTATTGATGCCACTATATATCACATTATCTAACCTATATAAAAGCCAGTGTGTGTTGCATCACATCATGCTTAATTTCTCGAAATAAGAGGAGTCATAAAAGCCAAAATGCATTTACGATTTTAGTGACAGGGAGTGTAAGGGAGCCATGAAGAGGGTTCCTGTGAAACCTTGTAAGTGTAGTGAATGTTGGTATGTATTAAATAAATTAATAAATATGCCCAAAGTAAAGACATAGTGTGAGATAACCGAGCCTAGAGCCAAGTACCTAAAATTTATCATGCAGGTAAAAATATCAATCC